TCATATTTTACAAGGACTTTTTTGTCCATAAAATTAAGCTTTAAAAAGTTATTAATTTAAATAGTTGTCTTCAATTGTACCACATAAGTTGACATAAAAAATTCTAATAAATAAATAAATGAAAGTGATAACTTAAGGGTGAAAAAATAATAATATATGGAATAAAGGTTTAACAAACATTTTATTTTTATTTTTTATATTTCCTATTAAAAAAATCAATTATATTCACATGAAACAAGCTTCTGTGGAATCTGTTTTCATGTGGATTGAACATGCAATTGAACCCATAGAGCTCATCACAAATCTTATTCCAGTTTAAACAAACTTTTTATTTTTATTTTTTATATTTCCTATTAAAAAAATCAATTATATTCACATGAAACAAGCTTCTGTGGAATCCATTTTCATGTGGATTGAACGTGCAATTGAGCCCACAGAACTCATCACAAATCTTATTCCAATGGTTTAAATAGTTGATTTTATTCTTATTATATTTATTTATTTAAAAATAAATAATTTTTTAAAAAAAATATACTTAGAAGTTAGAATCCGCTTGACAACGGACTATTTTAGTAAAAACAATTGTCAAAGTCATTCAAAAAGTCAAAAACTTAAAAAAATTTCAACTCATATAAAAAAAAAAAAGAGTTAAAGATTCCTTCTTATTCACTCTAATTTTTGCATTAATTTCATTTGGTTTAACTTATTAAAAAAAGCCCTCAATATAATTATGTTAAATTTGTAGATTTTTTTTTTTAATCTCAAAAAGGTCAATATAATTTATTATTTATTTTGTTTCACTTGTTTTCTTTTATATAGGAGTTTCTATCGTAAGATAATTTTATTAGGTTGATTGACATTTATAAGAGTTCATCTTCCCATTTTTGTGTTTTCCTCCTAATTCAACTCCCTTTAGAGAGAATTGAACTTATTATCTCTCATTAGGATTAAACCTTTAGAAGAGTCATGCTTATATAATGCCCATTTGGGAAACGATTTTTTTAATAACTTTTTGATTAAAATTTGAGGTACAAAAAAATAACAATAATGATACGCACACAAAGAACTAAATACAGAATCAAACACATAAATTTTTTAAACTTTCTAATATTTTTTTTTAAACTTTTCCACTGAAATCAACACTTCTAAGTGTGGCTGAATATTAGAGAATGGTGGGTCATATTTATGCAGATTTGTTTAGGGTAAGTTTTATACATATTATATATATATATGCAATAATCTTTGACTCTTTTTTTTTTTTTTTTGTTTTTTTTTTTTTTTTTTTTTTTTTTTAAGAAAGTATTTACATACAGATCTCTTAAACTAAAAAAAAAATATATATTACTTTGATTCCTTAAAAATTATACATACATAAAAATAGACCTCTTAAATTATTGAGAAGTATTACTTTGCCCCTAAACTATAAAAATACATAAATAAATCTCCTAAAATATTGATATGTTTCACTTTGACTCCTTCTATTAGGGGATTCAATTGATACATTTTTTTAATTAAGGAGTTTGTTTGTACACTTTTATAGTTTACATATAGCATTATTGTATTTATAGATATTTTCCCTTATCTTATAAATAATTTATTTATTTATTTGATTTTATTTTTTTAACAACTCTTATCCTACTCAGCAAAAAAAAAAAAAAAAAAAAAAAAACTCTTTATCATCTTGATGCCCTCTTTTTTTAACCGTTGGCCATTTGGTTTTTTTTTTTTTTGCCTGTACTACAAATTGATTTTATATATATATATATATATATATTGTTTTTTAGTGAATTTTATAAATATTTATTTTTTAGATACACTTTATCTAAATATACTTCAAAAATATAATATCTGTGAAACTTTTTCTAAAAAAATTCGACAAATACAAAGAATATTAAAAAAATAAATTGTAATACATTTTTCTATTTTATTGTATTCAATAAATTTTTAAATGATTTTTGTATAAATTTTATACTTTTTAATATATATCAAGATTAAACAGATTTAAAAAAGTTAAAAAAATTGATTGAAATATTTTTAAAAATTACTAAAAATATAAAAATACAAATTGAAAACTCAAAAAAACAATTTTAAATATTCCAAATAGTAACTATTCCATCTCTCCCTTATTGTACTTTGCGCCTCTTTTACCAACCAAAATTATTTTTGGTCACCAAAAATACTTTGGGCGAAAAAAATTTTAGTCGCCATTAATTTGTCTTCAGCTACAAAATAGAATAGTTGGCATATATGTATCATTTGCCGACAAAAAATTGATTTAGTCACTAAAAATGTTAAAAGTTTTGGAAGGGACAAATATTGTTGCCCACGCTTCCCCTCTGTTAGGCGAAATAATATTCAAACTCTCTCACACCCAGACTGTCTCACTACCAAACCTCACACGGAATCACTTTACCGCAGCCCATCGTACGGAGGAGCTCGGCACGACCACTCACAGCCGGAAATCACCACCGCCACAGCCACAAATCACAGGTTCTCTCTCTCACTCTCTCGCTCTTGGTCTGTCTATGTGTCTCTCTCGCTCACAGCCTCTCTGTCTATCTCTCGCTCTCTCTCTTTCTCTCTCTCCCCCATCCTTTGTCTCCTCATTTTCTGATTGTTCATTTAGGGTTTAATTTCATGTTCATTTAGACTGTTCCCATGTTTCCCCCTTTTTCTGATTTTTTTTTTTTTTTTTTTTTGATTTTTTTTTTTTGTTGAGGTTCCCCCCCCGGGTCTTTTTTTTTTTTCCCTTGGACGTTGCAAGTAATGGGTTGCGTTGCAAGAGTTTCAATCTCCCTTGGCTGTACGGTGTCTCCTATTTATATATAGTTTATTTCAGTTTCATAGCTTCAACTTTTCTCACAACATTTAGGTTTGGAAGCTACTCCGTTTTATGCCCAAATGATTGGATCCCTATATTTTTCATTTTGTTGATCACTTATGTATTGCTCACAAGATGTTTGACGAAATAATTTAGGGTTATACGGGTTTACATAGATGAATTTTTTTGTATTAAGTGTGTCCCCTGAACATGGGTGCTTGTAGACTTCTGAACATGGGATGATCTCTGTAGAGAAGATTGCTAGTTCTTTTTATTGGAAATATGTATGTGATATCTATATTCTATACTTTTATATATGTGAAGGCTTCAGACGGTGATGACACAATGCAACATTTTGATTCGTAGATGAAGTACGTGAAGCCATTCAATTTGTTCCATGATTTGATGAAGACAAAGCCATTAGAACGAGGGCCTTTGCTTGGTCTGGATGTTGGTGATAAATGTGTCGGCCTTACTGTTTCAGATACAAACAACAAGATTGTTTCACCTCTGAGGTATGAAACTTTATTGAACACAATAAGTAACAAGAACTCTTTGCCGACTAAAATTTTAGTAGCTAAAAATGTAGGACTTTAGGTGACTAAAAGTTTGGTCGCCGAAAAGGGTCTAATTTAATTTAATGTCCAACCTTTTGGCGACTAAAATTTTATTCTGGAATTGTATACATTTGGCAACTAAAATAATTTTAGTCGCTAATTACCTTTACTGACAATTTTTTGGCGACTACTTTTGCGACCAAATAATTTAGTTGCTAAAACCATTCGGCGACTAAAAATTAACTTTTGGGGACTAAAAATTTAGTCGCCAAAAGTGAAAATTCTTGTAGTGTATACAATATATATATATTATTAATAATAATATTTCTTCACTTAACTTGTAGCACACTAGAGGTCCTTTACATAGGATTACATAGAAGCTTGTAGGTACATGAATATCATACCCTATAGATACATCTACATATTCATACACAACCAATAAATTAGTTTTCTATAAATAAATTTACCACCCAACTTAGAAAATTGAACATTAAAATTTCCAAATAACCTAAACACCAAGTGATTGTGATGACTACAATTTTGAAGTGAATACAAAAAGGTAGGGTAAATTATGCAAGTGTCACTACAACATTTTCTTAGTTTAGTGACATTTGAAAGTGCCACAAAACTATTATTCTAATGACATTTTTTGGTCTTGTGGCATTTTGAACAAGTGCCACTTCTATCGGTGCCACGGTAGATACGAGTGCCACGGTAGATACTTGCAAGTGTCACTGCACCATCATGACTAAAAACTTTTAATGGCATTTTAAAGTCATGGTAGATATTATTTGTGACACTATCAAGCGCCATTAAAAAAAGAGTTAGTGACACTTACAAGTGTCATTACACCATCAAGATAAAACCTTTCAGTGACACTTTAATGTCATGGTAGGCACTATTCGTGACGCTATCAAGTGCCATTAAAGAAGACTTGCAATCTAAAAAATGCCACGATATGGATTTTTAATGACGCTTATTATGCCACAATTGATATTTATAACACCTTCATAAATGCCACTAAATCCAATTCATTGTGCCATTAAATAGATATAAGTGCCATTGGAACTTATTTTAGTGACACCTTGCAAAGCTATTATCACTACTATAAAATGCCACTTATATATTTTTTTCATTGACACTTTTAAAAGCTACAATTATGCATGCGTAAATACCTATAAAAATTAAATCAATTTTATAAACAATTAAATATTAATTGCCACATCATATATTAATTTGACATCCATTCATCCTGTAATATTTTCATAATAAGAAACAAATATTACCACCATAAGATCATCACATAAAAAAAAAAAAAAAACCGCAATCAATTATTCATTAAAATCTCAATCCAAAATTATTAAATATTCTACCACACTAACAAAGTTCAAGCAAAAACAATTTAAAACAAAATTATTCTGACCATAAGTTCTGAAAAGCCATAGTGATATGCATATTCCGGAGAGAAAAATTATCAAAAATAAAATTAGTTCCCAAATGCTCGACCTCACTTGTATAAATATTCTCGGCTAGCATCCATAACTTGCGAAATCTGCATCCAAAAGATAAACATATGAAGGTAATTGAAACTATATTAAGTTAATATAAATTTGTTAGTAAAATTAATATTTATGAAAGAAATATACCACAAATGGAGCAGGCCAAGCAACATGAGCTCCAATAGCTTGTCCAATTGTTTTGACAAGTCCATATGATCGGATCAAGCTCTCATTAGGTTTGATTGGCACTTGAACATGTACCTCCCAATAGTCAGGTCCTAGTTCTTCCCCTTCTACTTCTTTAGATGCGTCTGTGCTTTTAAGTACTCCGATTGCAACTGTTTCTGTTGGCCTAATGATACTTTTTAGAACAACTATATCTCCCACCTGTAAATCAAGATTTAACTACTTAAGTAATTGTATATTTAAAATTAAATTGCTAATATTAAAAAAAAAAAAAAAACTAGTACAAAGTGCTAGAGTGAAGATGATCACAACTGAAAGTGATATGGATTTCTATAGTAGATAAGCAAGCCAAATGCTTTAATTACTTAATTGGTTCACTACACTACAACAAATTATATAAAAGTAACAACCGTAAAACTTTAGACCATATCAAACAATAGCCTCAAAAATCAATAAAAACCAAAAGCACCAATCAACGACAATCAAAACCATGTCCATTATCAATATCAGAATCACCTAACCTCAACGATGTAAATCAAATGTAATTGTGAAAAATGACAATCAACTAATTACTTTCAAGCACTATTTTGATAGAATAAGAAAGAGGCCATGCGGTAATAAATGGAGAGATGTCTTGTTAAAGCTTTAGAAGAAAATTAAATTAATTTTTTTTTTTAAAAATAGCACAAACTGTCCTGTCATGATTTAAACTATGTAGCACATATTGTCTAGATTTAAATAATGAAATTTATGTTCGCAATATTCATTCCTTGGTTAATTGTAAAATAAGTGTTGCATGGTATTCTAAAATAAAGTTGGAAATAATGTGATATCTATGATTAGCTCTTAGTAGGTACTTGAGTAAGAGAAGCATCTTGTATCGATGACAAAGACCATGCTTGATGTCGAACTGCCATGTCGAGAGGAGTAGAAGTTGTTGTGGCCTAACCAAATTTGAACTATTTAATTTTACAAACACACACACATAGACATATGTATGCATATATAAGTGTAGGAAAACATTAATAACTTATAAATTCTATTAAAAAAATTACCTGATTAGATGTGTTTGTCAAGTTATTCGGAGCATGCTGAACATGGGAAACTTTGGACCTTAGCTCCGAATTTTCACCTTCCATAACATCCATTGTTGTGTCTTGGTTTGCTTTATGACCAGATGTATCTCTCCATAAATTAGACGGGGAGACACCTAATCCATACATGCGAACTCGTCCATGTTTTTCTTTACCCATCACTTGTCCAAATGCATCATTTGGGCCCTTATTTGATAAATTTGCATTTAAGGTTGTCCTCTCATTCATTTCATCCTATAAGGTTGCAAAAAACATAACTTAATATATACATTTCAATAACTCAACACTATAATGTGGAAATTTTAACTAATCTACAAGTTCAAATGGACATAATTATTTGGTACATACTATCATTGCTTTCGTTGCCTCAGGGGTTCCTGTCTCCTTTGTATAACATACTTTAAACATGTGAGCACGAGTTGGAGAGTGTCCCAACTTATTTTTCTACAAAATAATATATTCCAAAATATAAATTATATCATTATGTCACATTATGTATACCTTATAGGATAGCTTATGGGATAAAATTTGCTATTTGGCTTCTTTTTGGGCTTTGATGTCTCGTAGTTTCCAAGGAATTCCTTTATTTTTTATTACTAGAGATTGGATAGCCATACGTGATGTGTAATTTATTGGTTTCACTCTTGTCCTTTTGGTGGACTTCTTATCCTCCATTCACGTTTTGTAACTCTTTATTTTATTAGCTTCAGTAGTCAGTCAGGTGAGCAGACATTAGCAGATCATCAAGTAGATGAATATAAATTGTGAAGCCTACAGAGCAACTAATAAGGTTGCCAAGGAAAGTTATTATGTTTACAATCAGAGAATTTGGCAGCTTGATCTATAAAACAATTTGAAGATGATGATGATGGTGAAACTCTTCTTGATCATGGCGATAGAAGATGAAAATATAAGGACATGATTTTAGGGAATTTTCCATCAAAATGTTGTTGGTTGATCAAAATCAGCTTTCAAAGTCTTCATTTTCTATGATATTGTTCTCTCTTATCCAAAGTGTCCTAACCACCCATTAGACAGAGAATATCTTTCTTTTTATTCATTATTCCAGATCAATTCATTAGGTAAATAATTTAAGTTTAAATATCTTTTGAAACTCATTAATTAATTTGTTGAGCTCATATTTTACTTGGCTCAATAAATTTATTTACACTACATTATATATATAAAAAACTAAACTGTTCAAACTAATCTTATTTGAAACTTGTTTGAGATCTTCTCGAATGCTAAACAAACATACTCATGAATATATTTTAAAACTCATACAAAAATTTAAATTAATCTAGAACAATCAAATATTAAACTTGCCATCCGCTCGGTTAGAGTCTCTTTCCACTAGTTTTGCAATTAAACATCAGGTATTGTTCCTAGTAGAGTGTTTTTACATGCTAATTTTAAGGTATAGTTGTATTAGCCATATTTTGCCACAAAAGCCAACATTACTAATCAGTAGATACATAAATCAATTTCGCCTTTATTGGTGATACTGATGGTACATGATCATGACCACTCTGTGGCAACAAATTTGGGCCTGCTTGACAAGAACAACACTACATGCTTGTGTGTACTAACACAATATATATATATGTGTGTGTGTGTGTGTGTGTGTGTGTGTGTGTGTGTGTGTGTTTGCATATACCATGACATGCAATGCATAGGGAGAATGCACATTTTCAGGGGTCCCACTAACCTCCATTGCTACATATGTATTATATAATCTAAACTTGAGGACAAAAACTTTTATTAGATAATACGGGATCTTTTGATATCAAAATTCATGTTCATCTAATTGAGTAATTTGTAAAAAAACAGAGCAACCTATTGCAAAATTCCACTGAAGCATTTAAACAAACACTTAGAAGACATTATATACAATCACAACATAAATACAATAATAATAAATTACAACTAACCTTTTATATTAAAAGATGAAAATTAATAAATTCACGAGTTACAAAATTAGATTTTCAGATTGTATCAAGTTTTATGTCTAAAACAAGAAGATTATAAATAAGTGAGAAAGATAGAGGTATTGTGTGTGTTTGATGAGTGTGAGAAAGAGAGAATGAATACCTAATGAACTCTGATAGTAGAAGATGAAAACACAGAGAATTTGTGGTGTAGATGATAGATAAGGATGGAATGAAAGATATAGAACGATAAACCCTTGCTTCATGATTTGGCTCCCTCCTCTTTGACCCGCCAAAATCAAATTTATGTCACCAAATTCAGAATTTTTGGACTTCGTTCTCGGTGTCTAGGTCAATCTGGTATGCGGATTTTGCTGTATCAGATTTGGTTTGTTTCTTCAGTTGCGTTATTTCGTTTGTTGTATAACATAAAAGGAAAAAAAAACAAGTGGAGAATGAGTTTTTTGATATTTTAAATATAAAAGTAAATATTAATATTGGCCCTTATATTTTTTATTAAATTAATGGTAACTTTAATTTTAAATTTTGTGTCAATTTAGTATAATTAATAATACCGTTAATATTTTTGATAAAAAAATAATTACTGAATTTGTTGAGGCTAACTCAACGAATTACCAATTATTATTTTTATTTCTAAAAAAATGACATATGTCACTATCATTAAAAATGCTAACAATTAGGGCTTAATTACACTGTTAGTCCTCTATTTTGGCTATTATGTGATTTTAGTCTTTGTAATTTCAATTGAATCGATTTTAACCTGAATTTTTTATTTTACTCAAATTAGTCCAATTGATAGCATTTTTTTATATGCACACATGAATTGTCATCGTTTTAGGAATGAAACAAAATACTTGGTCAATTCAATGGCTCAATCCAACCAATCTAATGAAATTTTCTATCAAAGACCGTAAAGATTTTAATCAATAGGACTAATTTAGGAAAATCTAAAATTAAGTGTCAAAATTTAGACATTTAAATTATAAGAACAACAAATATAAGGATTATTGATGTAATTTACCAGTAATTATAAGCAATTGAAATAAATTTTGAAAATATATTGGCATTTTTTGTTTTTTCTACAAATGCCATTAGATAGGATGAATTTTTTTAGCTTTAGTGGGCATTTTCTCAAAATGCTAAAAAATATTTTATGACACTTTTCACTAATGCCATAGAAGTAGGTTGCACCTACTAGTTTAGTGACATTTTAAAAAAAAAATGTCATTGCTACTAACAGTTTAAGTGGCATCTGTTGACCAAATGCCACTAAAAAAATTTCTTGTGGCATTTTCTAAAAACTGGCCACTGTATTGTGTTACTAAAGTGTTTTTGTTGTAGTTTTGTGACACTTGTTCATTGCAATGTCACTAGAGCCTTTTATGTTTGTCGTTTTGTGGCATTTTTCAAAATGTGCCACTAAATATCATTTTTTGTGCATTTTCTAAAAATATGCCACTAGTGTAGTGCCACTTAGTATGTTTTTGTTATAGTTTTGTGACACTTGTTCATTGAAATGTCACTAGAGCCTTTTATGTTTGTCGTTTTGTGGCATTTTTCAAAACGTGCCACTAAATATCATTTTTTGTGGCATTTTCTAAAAATATGCCACTAGTGTAGTGCCACTAAAGTATGTTTTTGTTGTAGTGTGTAGGGGTGTAAAAATGGGCCGAGACCTGTGGGTGGCCCGAAACCCGCCTGAGGTGGGCCTGGCCTGTTTCACCCCGGTTAGGTTCGGGCCTAAGCCTAGCCTAGCCTAGCACCTTGGGCCTGGGCCCTCCCTTTGAAGCCTAGCCCAGCTCTACCCAAAAAAATTCAAACCCTACAGCCAGCCCAGCCCGGCCCACTCCTTATCAATGGTCAAATTTCAAAAATAAAAATAAAAAAAATACTTGCAACGGTTAAATAATTAAAACAATATAATAAAATATTGATCTTGCAAAAATAAAAAAAATAAAAACAAAACAAAATAACACAACAGTCAATGTCATTTCCTTGCTATGAATGAATATATATATATATTTCAACCTACTGCCCTTCTGCCCACCCAACCTACTGTCCTACCCCCTACATCACATCATCGTCGTTTCACTTTGCAATGAATAATAAATATGAATGGAAAAAGAAAAAAATTTAAACAGTTCATCACTTGCTGCCTACAGCCTGTAGCTACCTCTGCCGCCCCTACTAGCCTGCCCCTATGCTATATGCTTGCATCAGTCAACAAACTCTTCATTCATTGAATGAAAAAAATAAATAAATAAATAAAAAATTCAAACAGTCAAATTACCATTTTACTACAACGGTAATATAGACATATATTTTATAAATTTACTTCACTCTTTCAAATAAATATCCTCCATTTTTCAAAATAAATCTCACAAATAATTATCTCTCTCTTGTTAAGCTCTCTCAATCTCTCATAAATTCTCAATCTCTTTCAACTCTCAATTAATTTTGAAGTGTCATTCCTAAGTGACAATTGCAATTGTGCAAACAAAAACTTTTATTAGAAGAAGCTAATTGCTGTATCGCATTCGACAGTCAGTAACATTAATTAGTTTAATTAAATTTATTAGCAACTCATTTTGTTCTTTAATCATTTGTGTACATATATTAATTATTATTTTTTAGTCATTGTATTTACACATTAATTAAATTAATTGTTAATTTTTATATATTGTTTTACTTATATTACTATGGATCCTAATATTTCTAATGTTTATGTCAATGTTTATACATATACTGTACAACATGAATCTGTTGATTCTCCTTCTAATATCCTTCTTCCAACAATTAGATCATCATTTAAGGACACAACTAGTACTGTTTGGGAACATTTTGAGAAAATATCTATAAATAATCCTGATGGTACAATTACATTTAAAGCAAAATATAAATATTGTGCAAATTTACTTAGTGTTGCATCTGCAGGGAGTACTAGTCATATAAAAAGGCATGCTAACAAAACATTTACAAAGTCAACAACCTGATATTAGAAGTCAAATGCAATTAGAGGCCTCATCAACTGGTAGTTTACAAACATTTTCATATGATCTTATACGTGCACAAAATTATGTAGTTGATTACATTATTAAAAAAGGACAATATTTTACTACTAGTGAATGTCTCGATTTACCAAAATGATTCACGAAAGTTTTACACCGCAATATCTAAGTTTTTCAAAAAATACTATTAGAAACAGAATATTAAAGAAATTTGAGGATGCTAAAAGTGAATTATTTGATATCTTTAAAAAATTGAATGGAAGAGTTTGTATAATATCTTATCTGTGGTCAAATAATGACTTTAAATATTAATGTATCACTACACACTTTATTGATAAAGATTGAAAATTAAATAAATAAATTATTTCATTTAAATTGGTGTACAAATAAGAAATGTATTATATGAGTGGGCTTTACAAAATAAAATATTTACGATTAATTTAGATAATGCATCATATTATAATCAAACTGTAACTCATTTAACATCAACTTTACAGTTACTTGTTGATGGTGATATATTTCATGTTCGTTGTTGTGCC